ATATGGGGTTTATTTGATTATATGTGAAAATGCTGGAATTGTTATGCTTAATTGTTATTAAAGGGAACATTAAGCTTTTATTTATCTGCTCGAGTTCATTAACAATTTGAAGGTTCTTGTTCTGGATTAAGGGTTGTGAAATTGTTGGAGCTGTACAGTTAATAACTCCTCGGAGCAGGGGCAGATCCAGGATTGGATCTAAGACCGGACTGCAAAATTTCAAACCGGGCTAGTACGCGAAAAAAAAAAATTTTACACATGAAAAATTGTTTTAAGAAAAAAAAAAGAAAAAACCTTATAAAATTTTTTTTTTTGGGCCTTGAGGGGGGGCTATAGCCCAACCAAGCCCCCCCTTGTATCCGCCCCTGCCTCGGAGAGAATAGGTTCTGATTATTTTCAATTTCTTATTTATTCAATTGGGTACTTTGCCTATTGGAATTAATTATTGAGAATTGTAGTAGTACACATAATTTAGTAGTGATTTTGATTATTAGTAGTTTTTTTTATTGTGATCATGAGAGGGAGTTATTATTTGCAGCTTGTTCTCAGGCTTGGTTTAGTTTTAATTGATTAAGAAGTTTGAGTTTAGTATGCCGTTTGTCTTAATTTTGATCTTTAGTTCATTTTATTTTGCTTTTAGAATCTAGAATGTTACACAACCAATCTCCTATGAAGAAGGAAAAAGACTCGTGTTCATTATTCTTTAAAAGACAGATGGGGCCAATGACGATACATCTTCTTGATCTAGCGAGAAAACCTCATTTTCTGTGCACTACCCCGTTCAATTATAAGCACATATAACTTGCCGAGCAATAATTTAGATTTTGTGATAGATGAACTTTATGCTAAATAAAACTTGTTAGGCACAACTTAAGTCTATAATGTCATATTTGACTTCTTGTGTGATATATAAAACTTGTTCTTATATTGACTTTTTAAAAATTTCAGCCCCCCTAACATAGTCTTCTAGGTCCTCCCTTGGCTATAGTAAAAGTGGACGACAAATTCTTGAAAGGCACCATTCTAAAGACAGATTATGTAACTTTGTTAAGTGATTTACTTGAACTTGAATTGTTGAAAAAATTGTATTTACAAATTCGAGATGACAGTTGTGTCACGTGAAAAGTAAGTTTTTAATCAAGTAAATAATATAACAAAAGGGGTTGTGGAGTTGTTAAATCAATCGGGTTACTTGATATTGAGTTGTTAAAAAGCTTGTATGTGCAGATTTTGCACAACCAAGTGTTGTGATATTTAGAGTGTGGTCATCTAAAATACAATTGAAGTGATACTGCATAAATGTCATATGCTATCATGGGTTTTTTGATAATTTGAAACATTAAACAAGGTCAAGACCGAGATATCTTAAATAAAGACTTGATAGAATCAATTAATAGACAAATAAGCCCCTGTTTGATCCCTGTTATCTAAACAAGGAAAGAACCATCACCTTTGAACTAATCGAGAGGACAAAACTCTTGATAGAATCAATTAATAGTCAAATAAGCCCCTGTTTGATCCCTACTATCTAAAAACTCATTTTTCTCAAACTCATTTTCAACCACACATTTTCACAATAAAATATTTTGCTCGTAAACCCAAAATTTTTTCCTACTTTTTAACCACACATTCAAAAATTCACTATTACAAAAATCATTTTCTATAAAAATGGGGCTCAAACATAGGCTAAATCAACATGTTCATGAACTGTCGAAGTTAAACCTTGCACTCGAGAAGTTGAGGAAATTGAAACACGTGTAGAGTTCCCCAACATTCTTAGGTCCACAAAAAATAAAAGCAATTATTCTTTTTTATTGTTGGAAGTATTGTTGCATTAATATATGCATATTTGGATACATTCCATCCTTAATTCAGGTACTTGACTCAACTGAGAAATGAATCAAGTTTAGTTCTATTCATTTAACTAATTTTCAAATCTAAATTAACTAATTCTCTACAAGATTCAAGTAATTATCTGAATTTAGTTTCCATCGTGATAGAGTATATATATATATATATATATTTTATTGATTTACTTTCGCCTGGGAATCTGAAAATTCTGGACTCACTGGACTGAAAGGAGGAGGCAAACAATTCGATTGGAATTTGGCCAGAATAATAGAGCATGAGGATAGTGGGATTGACTGGAGGCATCGGTTCAGGGAAGAGCACAGTCTCCAATCTTTTTAAAGCCCACGGTATTCCAGTTGTTGATGCTGACGTCGTTGCTCGAGTAGGATTTCAGTCTTTTCACTTTATTTATTTCCACTTTGTGCAATTCAGAAACCCTTGTTTATGCTTCTTTTTCTTTAACTGAAAGTATTTGTTTTTGTGAATGATAGAATGTATTGAAGAAAGGCAAGGGTGGATGGAGAAAAGTAGTGGCTGGTAAACCCCTACTATAAAATGACCTTAATGGAGAAGTGGATCGCCCAAGGCTTGGGCAAATTGTCTTCTCCGATCCTGATAAGCGCCAGCTTCTTAATAGGTAACACTCTTGTGCACTGTTAACGATGCAGGTAGTCTTTGACTTATATATGTAGTGCTTTACTGTTTAATCAGTTGAATGTTGGGTAAGAATTTGGTAACCACTGCCTTTTCAGTGAAATTTTGTCTAGAAATAGTTGGTATTATAATTGGTAAGTGATCTTTGATCTCTATACTGCGTAGTTCAAAATATAAAGCTTCAGGTAAGTTGTTCAAGTGATTAGGGTAGCCCAAAAAATCTGTCTGCCATTTGAACTTACTTTTCTGGCATTTTAAAACTGAAATTTGCTGTTTATGTTAAGGTAACTTTTTGACCGATTCATATGAAATATGTTGATCTGGGGCAGTGTTGAACTCCAGTCAACAACAGAATGGTTCTGGTGAACTGTAACCATAATGGAAATTAATGTATAAATTTTAACGTGTACATGTATGGTGTATATGTAAGTTATTGATTGGGCAGTATTGTCTTCTGATATAGGCTTTTCAAAGGAAATTGTAGTTGGAATTAGATGACTGGGTGGAGTAAATATGGATTGGTTGTTCTGGTAGGTAACCTAACATGCCTTATCACACACACATAGAATTTGATTTTTGACGCGCTTTAAAGTTGAGATAAATTTGACACACATGTAGATGTATTTTGCATGATATTTGCTTAAATTCCATCTCCAGGCTGGCGGAGTATTATTCTAGTGATCTGGATAGCAAATTAAGTCTACTGCAATATGAGTCCATTTTCCTGGCATTCTAAAAGACTAACTGATACTTTGTTTTTATTATATTACATGTCTGATTAATTCATGAAAATTATGCTGGCATAATGCGTTTAGATAACATTATTTCTGATTTTTCGGAGTTTTTATTAGTCTTGACAAATTTTAACAGGAAAATTGTGGCATTTAGATTCACATAAGTGGACCTTTTTCTTTTTCATTGGATAAAATTAAACATTCATATCTTCTCTTATGAATCACATACCGGTTCTGGTGACTGTCGACTTTACTCGATCTATTTAATAAAATTATTAATAATTTTGGTTTATAAGCTCATCAAATTTCTAAGATTCTGATCGAGCTGTCTCAGATTCATTTGATTGGAACTTCTGATTCTTCGAAGTAGAAACTCAGTTAATTATTAGCCATAATCTGTCCCTCACACTTTGTGTGGTTATAAGATAGCCCATAAGCTCCACCCAAATATGCTTGATAAGAGAGAATTTTTCTCCTGTATTTTGAGGGTAAAATTATTCGTCTAAATCTTGTTAGACCAATTATGTCCAACAAACTGTATAGCAAACTGAGTTTCGTGGTCTGGCTGCAATTTTCAGATACCTTGAGTGCATGATAAAGAAATGGCTGTATGATTGCTAAAATTGAAGTTGTGAAAGAATAATGTTTAATCCCGAGTCGATCGTAAGACTAGTTATTAAATATATTAAACATTTGAATTTCGATATTCCTTTTTATTTCCCATTAAAATCCTAGCTATTCCTAACATGCATAGCAAAATATCAGTGCTATTATGTCTGCTTGATATTCATCCACAGGTCGAATTGCCTATGAAATTACTAATCATTGGGATCTCAAATGATGGATGTGCAAGCAAAAAACAAAGCAGAAACAATTATTTTTGTGGAACTCAAATTTATTTTTGTCGAAGCTTAAACTAGTCAATTTTTGTACAGATTGCTTGCACCTTATATTTCGTCTGGAATTTTCCTCGAAGCGTTGAATCTATGGATGAAGGGATGTAAAATTATCGTTCTTGACGTGCCTCTACTGTTTGAGGCCAAGATGGACAAGTGGACGAAGCCCATTATTGTAGTTTGGGTTGATTCTCAGACTCAACTTCAGCGACTTATGGCTAGAGATGGAACAACGGAGGAAGAGGCGAAAAACAAGATCAATGCTCAGATGTCTCTGGATCTAAAAAGAACCAAGGCAGATATTGTGATTGATAACACAGGATCATTGGAGGATTTGAACGTTCGCTTCAGTGAGGTACTGATACATGTCAAAAAACCTTTGACATGGCGTGAATTTGGGGTTTCTAGGGACGGAGTTTTCTTAGGTTTTGTTTCTCTCCTGTTCGGCGTCTTCATATGCAGGAAAATCTTGTAATTGAATAATCTTATCTACCGTGATGACGACGACGAGTCGACGAAGATTATGGCTGAATTTAAACTGTGATAAATTCTCAAATGTATCAATAATTTACATGACTCGTACTGTAGATTTTTTTTTTTAAGGTAAAAAATATGCAATGCATTATACTTATACATACCCTTTCCTAGTTACATTAAGAGGAGATTTTTCTGAGTTGGCTCCACGTTCTTTGTCAGTCTGATCCATATCAACCTGCTATTAGTCTTCGAAAATGTCAACTGTTTTGGTAGGTTTTGAAAGATTCAAGCATCGAGGATTTCAACTTCTTTACAGCAATATGATAAGACCACGGCCTGCAGCCAGTTAGTTTAAATATTGTATTATAGTACATAAATCTTATAATAATCGAGTAAAAAATTAGAACAACTCAACTGTTGAACGCTGTTTCCATATCTAAAATGAACAAATTGCCCCACCCACGATGGCCAGCGGGGGTGCATTTTTCTCACCAATTTTCAATTTTCCAAACTTCGGAAAATCTTATCCCGTTTATTCCAATAAGTTTTGGATCTTCGGGAAAACAAATTTATCGACTCAAAATAGATTTTGACACATCAATTTTAAAAACATAAAATGTCGTGTTTGAAAGTTTTTTAAAATCATTCTAACCATATCACAGTTAATTATTCAGTTACTCTAACATTAAAATTCTCAACTAATTTCGTCATACACTTTTTAAAATTTGATTTTTGACCTCCGAGCGATCTCGATTGATTCTACCCTAGAAAATCTTTCGATCGTGGTGAAGTGAAAATGTAATCTCGAAATTTGATAAGAGATTAGATTATTATAAATAAGGAATTAACAAGTGGAGTGGCAATTTAGAAAATTCATAGAATATCAATACTAATTGCATAATCTCTTGCCAACCCGCTCTATTTACTGCCAATTCTCGCGAGAAGAGAGACCATTGACAAACAACAATGCTTAATACTCTCTTTCGACACTTCATAATCTCCGCCGTGCTGATGGCGGTTCTGCTTTTCTCCGCCGCTAACGCCGGAGGAGACGAGTTCAGCTGGATGCCAGTGAAACCACGGTGCAATGGATCCATAGCAGATTGCATTGACGCCGAAGGTGAATTCGAAATGGATTCCGAAAGCAATCGGCGCATTCTAGCAACCACCAAGTACATTAGCTATGGCGCGCTGCAAGCCAATAATATACCATGCTCGAGGAGAGCGCGCAGCATGATGTTGACGGCAGGTGGTGCCCAAGCTAACCCCTACACCCGGGGGTGCTCCGCCATCACGCGGTGCCGGAGTTAGTTTTCCGTCAATTTTAATATATACATTTGTATGTATAACTGTGTGACTGAGGTCTGAGTTTATAATAATTGGTGTTTTTGTGTTGAAATATATGATTTATATACACAATTTTATTGAAATTTCCAAATATATTCCATGGTTTGTGCCTTGTGGTCTATTCATATTTTAAATTTAATTTGATCATTTGATTAGTTAGTATTCAAACTTATTCATAGATAATATTAAGGCTGAAAAATATATATTTGTTAATATATTGGAATTTTTCCCCTTATTTTGATCTATTGTAGCTTCTTAGAAATC